TATATATATATGTATATATTTGCCAGCATTAAAATTGATTAACTTCAATAATCACTTCTGTTCTCTTTGCCTCTTGACCTTTTTCTCCTCCCGGCCTCAACTTCGTTCCTTTCTGTGGCTTCTCTTCCTGTCGCGCTCCCTTCTCTGCTGAAGGTCAAGCGGGGGCTCTGCGGGTCTGATTCCAATCCTGGCGGTGATTGGTGCGGTCGGGTCTCTTGACATGCCTTAAGTTTATATATGACAACAGATCCATCTAATTTACATTGCAGATGCAGCTTCTTACTGCTGTGATCAGAGGCAAGGATTCGAACAACACCTTCGAGAACCTACCCCCTTGAGCACAACAACCCCAAAACAACAAGTTGTTCCCGCACTCAGTATTCACTTCCTGTTTAGCCTTTCACAATAAAACTGGAATATGAAATATGAAATTTTGTTTCAGATGTCCTTTAGAAGTTATTTTTTGATACATTTTTTTTGAATGAAGTGAAAGCCATTTCTTGCATTCTGTTGTAGTTTAACAAGTTGGTACGGAGCCCGCCGGGGGTCAGTGGTGAAAAAAGAAAAACAGCTGCCGGAAATCCGTAAACACGGATTACTAAACTGAGCACTCAGTTTCTGCAATCAGTGCGCGCAAATTGCGTCGACATGTTGGACGCATGGTATGTGTGTTACATTCTGTTATGTTGTATCCGGTTTTATTGTGAAAGGCTAAACAGGAAGTGAATATTGTGAGTGCGAGGTCCAATCTGTGGCGGGGACAACTTGTTGTTTCAGGGTTAGTTGCTCGAATCCTTGCCTCAGATCACAGCAGTATGAAGCCACATCTGCAAGGTAAATTCGGTGGATCTGTTGTCATGTATAAATTTAAGGCACTGTCGTGTTTTCATCAGCACACTTTTTAGCCACAGAATTTCCCTGAAAGTTTCATCAAAATCCGACGTGGTTATTTTATTATTTATTTTCATATTTTCCAGGCAAATGATTCCTGAAATGGAGGTTAGCCTCCTCCGCCCTCCCGTCCCCGCTTTTGTTGTGAAAGAGAATAAACATCTGAGAACCGCTGGAGAGGACCTCCGAGCGGCTTGCTGTTGAGAAATGTCACCGTGTGGCYAGTTTCATCTGCAGAATGACAATCAGATGGGAGCTGCGGCCCCACTCTTACTCTGAAATGTTTCAAGCCTTATTCAACTGTTTCTGTGGTGTAATAGATGTTTTTGAAAGTGTAATAAACATTTCCTAAAAGTTCAACATAAAACTATTCAGTACTTTTGTGATATAACCCTGAGAATGCAGCTGACTAACTTCCCCGTTGTCAGGGAAACTGTAAACAGCCTGTAACCACGGGCAGAAAGGCTCCGAGCAGCTTCCTGTGATGATCCAATCAGAGCTGAAACAGCCTTTAGGAGACCCAGTACCAAAACTGCCTGATAGAGGGGCAAAAACTGTACAACAAACTCAAAGTCCAAAATTTTCCTGTGCAAAACTTTGACTTTAGTGAAAAAAAAAAAAAAAAAACGCTCCTTAAGCACTTTCTGAGCTGATGAAAGACAGTTCACACAACCACCCTCCAGATGTCAGTAATCCATGTGCACGAATTGCAGAAACCGTGAGCACAGTTTAATAATCCGTGCGCTCAGTTTAGTAATCCGTGCTCACAGTTTGGTAATTCGTGCGCACGGATTTCCAGCGGCTGTTTTTTTTTCCTCCCACTGACCCCTCACGGGCTCTGTAGGTTGGTAAACATATTTTACTGAAATAAACATTTCATATGAGTAATCTAGCAATCAATCAAATGGAATCAATTCATTCATGAAGAAATAGGGCTCGGGGTGAACTAAAATTACTACAGCCCCTATGAGCTATTTTTCCTCTTCTCTAAAAAAGTTTATTTACAAGGAACAAGCTTTGAAAATGTGAACAGCAACAACATTTACTATCTGTCTTTAAATTACAGGATTTCTTGAATTACACATTAATTCTGTATTTAATCAAATCATAAACATAAAACCCAATAAATAAAGAAGATAAATGTGTGGTCTGTGTGAACTAAATAATATTTTTTTATAAATGGGTGGGTCTTAGCTGACAACATTACAAAATATTATATTTAGGGGAAAAATATTTTTTAACTACAAGTTTATCCAACAAAATAAATGCTAATTTAAGATGACAATCTCTTCCACCTCATCATTTTCTGTTCATAGAGTTCTCATTTACAGTTTTCTGTCCGACTCCTTTAGTTTTTCATGAGGAAATGATGATATAATTTTGCCCAACCCTAGTAGAAAATTGTTGTTAACACAACTGAAAACTGCTGTACTGTTACAGAAGAATTAGACCTGGTCTTCCTGTAGGTAGTTGAGTATCTGGAGCATCAGCATTTTTTGTTTGATTATAGTCTCAAAATAAAAGTTAAATAAGTAAATAAACTTTTTACTGAAACTCATCAGTCTATTCTTGTTCTGAGAAATGAAGGCTGCTCCATGAGAGAAACTGAAGATTTCAGACCGTTGTCTGAAATCTTCAAAGGACATCACAAACTGTCTCTGGCCAGACCAGGAGGAGAAATGATTAACAACTGCACAATAAACACATTAAAGTTTCTAGTTTGAGAAACAAACACCTCACAGGTCCTGAACTTAGCTTCATTAAATGGTACCAAAACACCAGCCTGAAATGGAGAGCTGTTTTATTC